GATAGAGGGAGAGAGAGGGGAGGGAGGGAGGGAGGAGATAGGGAGAGGGAGAGGGAGAGGGAGAGGGAGAGGGAGAGGGAGAGGGAGAGAGGGGAGAGGGGGAGAGAGAGAGAGAGAGAGAGAGAGAGAGAGAGAGAGAGAGAGAGAGAGAGAGAGGAGAGAGAGAGAGAGAGAGAGAGAGAGAGAGAGAGAGAGAGAGAAGAGAGAGAGAGAGAGAGAAGAAGAGAGAGAGAAGAGAGAAAGAGAGAGAAGAGAGAGAGAGAGAGAGAGAGAGAGAGAGAGAGAGAGAGAGAGAGGAGAGAGAGAGAGAGGAGAGAGAGAGAGAGAGAGAGAGAGGAAAGAAAGAAAGAGAGAGAGAGAAAGGGGAGGGGAGATAATGCGCTCAACATAAAATAAAATAAAACAAGAAAGAAAGAAAAAAAATCATACAGAATCGAAAAGAAATGGGATTCACGTGTAAAGCCGTGACTCAATAGCAGTGATCCACAGCTGTTCTTCCTAAACATTGTGAAACGTAATTACAAACACAAAGCAAAAAAACTAAACAAAAAAAAAAAACAAAAAAAAAAACAACTCACCGTTCGCAGCGGGAGGCGGCATCGGCTTCTGGTCACGCTCGTTGTTGTTGTTATTGTTGTTGTTATTGTTGTTGTTGTTGTTGTGGTGGTGCGGTGACGGGGTTTCGGAGCGCTCGCCCCGCTCCTTCCAGGCGCCTCCCCCCTCGCTTCCGCTGCCGGGGGGTGAACCTGCGACAGAAATGGAAGGGTTTTACGAATTGATCGGCTGGACGGGGAAACACACACACACAGACAAAGACACACACACACACACACACACACACACACACACACACACACACACACACACACACACACACACGTGCAAAAAGCATGTATGTACAAAAGATTTATTTTCATATCCTAAGTGATTACTATATTGCATACATCTTTCAAGTCATATATCTTTTCTTCTTATCCTTCTTGAATTTTTCCCTCTGCGATATTTCATACATTTATAGATATCTCAAACACATTTCTTAGGGGCAGACACAGTAGTCCATTCAGCCCAGAGAATCCCTCTATTTCAGGGCGGGATACTTCCCTGGCTACGATGGGACGCGATATGGAAATCCCAGCCTACCGCGACACCGAACGAAAACCGCGGTGTTGGTTTCTCGCCCCAGCTGATGAGGGGAAGACGATGGTAAACAAAAAAACAACAACACTTTACTACAATTACTAGGAGGCTTATTACCGGATTATCTAAACGGTGATTATTTGATCGAGCTAGGTATAATTGCGTTGCGAAAATAATTTATATATATTACAACGAACAATGGTGCCTCAACAAAATTTTAAGGAATACAAAAAAAAAAAAAAAAAAAAAAAACCTACTCCGACAGGCTGAAGACACCGAGCTCATCTCAGACATTATTTACAACCTGGTAGTCACTGTGAGAGCCAAACAACAATTACGGTATGCCATCCACAAACATAATTCTGGCAGAGAGTTAAAAAAAATAACAATAACGAAAGAAATCAACGAGGAACGGGGAATTTAGTTTCGCAGGAGGTATAATTGTACGGCCGGTAAGGCTATGTCACAATCGGCGATGAATGAATTTTTTTTTTCCTCCATTTCAGTTATCGCGTTTGCCTCCTCCCACCTGCGATTCTTATCAGTCCATAATTACGTCTCTCGAACATTGGTGATTATACTAATAGCGGAATGTGTTATCGGAAAGAACAGTGTCGGATTTTCTGTTTCGGTTCAAAGTCGGGATATTCGGGTAGCCGGCGCGGTTGTGTGATGTGTATGATTGTGCGAGTATGAAAAACACAACCGTGTTGATACAACGGTAGAAGAGCACACAATACACGACCTATAATAATTTGCGCATTTTCGTACAATAATTAATAAAATAAGTGGATTGGCTTCTATAGGTTTACCATATTTTCTAAAACTGTTTAATCGATATGCGAAGAAATTCATTAAAAAAACCACGCCTATTCTCGCTGTGCAGTTCATCCAGGAACTTCGGTCTAGACTGGGACGATCTCTCTCTACGCGGGGATAGTGTGACCAATCCCGCCCTGCAGCCGACAGACATTCGGCGTGGCTGTCTAAGGAGCCCGGACTGACGAGGCAAGTGTGGCCGTTGCCTTACAAGTCATTCTGTTATCATAATTTTACATGATGTCGAATTATTCCTTCTGAATCCAGTTATTAATACATCAAAATTGCGAACAATTGTGCGTGTACAATGTGCATGTGTGTGTGTGGTGTGTGTGTGTGTGTGTGCGTGCGTGCGTGTGTGTGTGCGTGCGTGTATTTGCGTGCGTGTAGTCTGGTGTTCCTATTTTTCACCGAGAAAATACCATACGTGCTATTTTCAAGCGCGCACCATCTGTGTACTGATGTTTCGATTACCTGTTGCCAAATACATTTCAAGCGTTGTATATTTGTAATGACCTTCTGTATCTACAGCTACACCTCTCATAGCGTAAAGCGATACAGTTACACCAACTTCGAGCAACACTCACGAGTTTCTCCATTGTGGTGATGAAGACCCGGATGGAGGCCCGACTGCAGCAAGTACTGCCGCTGCACCGCCTGTAACTGCTGCACCAACTGCTGCTGCTGAGCGCCCAGCTGTGCCAAGGGGCCGGACGCCTTGCTCTGAAAAGTGGAAGCGGTGGAGGTTAAGAAAAAACGTACTAAATGAGAGAGAGAGAGAAAAAAAGAGTAAATGAATGGGCGGCGCATCTTCGCTTCTGCAAGGACTGGCCAGCGTGGACCCCATCCGTCACTCGGGCTTAAAATCACCGTGACATTTGAGGTATATCATTCAAACCCCAATTATCTAAATTTATGGAAATCAGAGGGTATTCTAAGGCCATCAAGCACGTCGATATTCCATGGACATCTAGAAATTAATCAGATATACTTTGAGGATATATAGAACACCCGAGATATCGACTGCGTTTGGAAATCCTGTTATTCTCACCGACCTCCGCCGTTCGTCCCATTATTTCATCCAGAATACTCCAGAAAAAAAAAAATCCATGGTGAATTTGTCATTTAGATAATGTGCACGGCGGCTGCTATGTGCTATTCCTACATAACTATCCCTCGCGTCCCTTTTCGGCTTTGCTAGATCATCTAAATTCATCCAAATTGTGATTAATCTCCAGAACGCATTGTACTGGAGATACAAACACACACCAAGTCTCAAATAAATTATTAAAGCACATTTTCCTCCCGGTCTCAATATTCTATTCCTATCGCCAAACACGCACATGATTTCCGACGTCTGCAATCTCCCTATCACAGCTGTTTTTTTTTTTATGACTTTACACAACCCGAACGTCATTGCTAGAAACCGTACTTCACTTGTTAAAGAAACGGAGGAACTTATTGCTCTTTTCCGTGACCGGCGACACATGTTCCAAGATTGCTGATTTTACAGCGGAGGTGCATTCTTTAGACAAGTGTTTGTATAATGTGAATATCTGTATTTTCATATATCCATACCTATACCTATATTTGTATCCATAGGAGTGCATAAGTATAGGTGTGTGTGTGTGTGTTTGTGCATGCACGCACGCACGCACGCGAAAACACACACGCACACACACACACACACACACACACACACACACACACACACACACACACACACACACACACACACACACACACACACACACACACGTGCTATGAATTTCAGAATTCAATCTTTTCACTCCCAAACAATTTCTTTCACTCAAAGACGCAAAAAAAAAAAAAAAAGAGCAAGAAAAAAAAAATCACTGTACAATTAAATATGGCCGTAGGCGGAGCTAGGTACTAATCTATCTGTCAGTCATAAATACTCTTTCATGATTGGCACGATGACACACGAGTGGGCGGGGCTTACCAGACGTACCTTGGCCATTAGCCAATGAAACGCCCGCTCTCTTTCGTGATTAGAAGAGTTGGCGCCAAACATACCCGAAGCCTTGGGGACACTTTTTCTCTCAGCCAAATGAGATGCGTAAACGTTGGCTGAGAACACCGGGTAGCGCGAGGACGGTGGGGGGGTGGGGGTGGAGAGGGGAGGAGAGGGGGAGGGAGATGGGGAGCGATGGAGGAGAGGAGATGGGGAGGAAGGAAGGGGATGGGAGGAAGGAAGGGGGGATGGGGAGGAAGGAGGGGGAGATGGGGAGGAAGGAGGGGGGATGGGGAGGAAGGAGGGGGACATGGGGAGGAAGGGAGGGGTGGGTGGGGAGGATGGAAGAGAGGGAGATGGGGAGGAAGGAGGGGATGGGAGGAAGGACGGAGGGATGGGAGAGGAGGGGGAGATGGTAGGGAGGGTTGGGGGGAGTTGGGGAGGAGGAGAGTGGGGGGGGGGGAAGGATGGAGATAATAGAAGAATATGGGGAGCCTGGGAGATGGGGAAGACAGAGGAGGATGGGGAGATGGGGGAAAGATGGGTTAGAAGGGGGATGAAAAAGGCGGGGAAAGCTACTTCGCGTCGCAAACCGCTATTTTGAGCATGGAAATCAATTTATAGCAGATGTGATGGTGATTAACGATTTTCATTCCCCGCCAATCCTCCTCTTGTGTAACGTAAACCGAAGCCAAGGTGTTTATGGCTATGCGGACGAATAATTCTCCGTCGATATAGTTGATTACCCAAGAAAAAACAACAATAATAATAATAATGAATAATCAAATTTGAAAAAATCGACGCGTGTATCAAATTTGAAAAAAAAATCTAAGCAATTTCCGACAAAAAACAGCCTGTTTAACGCCCAAGTCCAAATCTTCATTCCTTGACCCAATCATAAATGAACCTGCTTTCGAAACCTGCCGCTGTCGCTTGGATAAAGGGACGAACATCGCCCACCGACATCGGATACCACGCGAAAAAGGATTAGATCCCATAAAAAAGAGGATTACAAGCACTATTCTCCACGCCGAGTGTTTTAGCTGCAACGGATCCGTCCTTTAGCGCA